CTCCTATCTTCCTGCCTCCTTCCTCCTATCTTCCTGGATGCTTAGATTACCAGCACTAGGCCTGGCTTTTCCCTCAGTAGTTCTCATCTGCTGTTGATTTTTGTCTGCTGAATCACGTTGGCTAAGTGTGAAATCCATGTAAGTGGACATGGGGAGCCAAGGGAACTTGGTTTAAGGAGCCAAGTGTGAACCAAACACACCCTCTCTGTGTGATGACAGAAGCCATGGTAGATGCCATTACTCGGGGTAGTACTCAAACATCAGCCGTTCCTGTAACCCCATGCATATTACTGAGCCTCAGCGTTGCTCATAAGAACAAGTCAAATGTCAGACCCCACACCACATACCTAAAACCACAGGAGGAAGCGGACAGCCTTGGGTACAGCACTATCAACAGCAACTGTTCACAGGATCTCTCAAAACAGTGCAGAACCAGACCTCACCCAGCTTCCTGACACCACTCCTATGGCAGATTTTCATACTTTTAATGTCTCAAAACAGATTCAAGGAGGAAGGATGAACAGCAAGCCTGGGCTGGGGTGGGGGTGGGGTGGAGGGACTGAGCAAGTGTCCCGTAGAAAAAAAGCTGGGGTCCATCAACAAAACGAAGAGAACGGGAGGAAAAACGAACATAGATTCCAATCTCATCTGGCACAGAAACATGGTCAAAACTTTGGCAATGTCCTACTAGCCCCGCAGGCATCGAATCTTGCAACATTTCCCCGACATGAGTTTAATTAAAAAAAAAAAAAATCTGATATTGTCCTCAGGGTGTCAATCCTCTCAAACATGTGAATTTATAAGCACTTACAAGTGCTGAGGGTCTGGGCGACCTGAAAACAGCCCAACCCTGTCTCTCAGACTAGGGCACAGCCGCCAATAAAAGCCAGCCACTGAGATAGCAGATCCTGCTGCCCTGAGCAGATCCCTAGGTCCCTCCCTCTTGGCTCCCATCCCTCCGGGATTCTGATGCCTGTCAGCCACGGGGCTGCTCCCAGCACAGGGAACAGAAGCCTCTGGGCTCACTCCTCTGTCCATGCCAACTCCTTCCATCCACTTCTGGTGCCCCCAGCGCCCCGCCCCACAGCCCGACCACAGTAGAGCTCACCCCGATCCTAGGTTCCGGCCCGGCCCGCAGAGAGCAGAACCGAGAGGAGGAAGGACAGGCGCCCTGGCCGCAAGTACCCTCAGGGCTGGGAGGTCTGAGCAGGAAGTCCCCCTGGGCGCGGGGGGAGGGGAGCGGAGGTGACAGAGGTGGCCATGGGCTGTCGAGGTGAGAAGGAACAGCAGGAAGGACAGAGGAGAGGTTGTCTCTGCTCTTTGGCGGTAATTTCCAGTCCGGGCCAGCGGCTAGCTTCAGGTCGGTGTAGTTAGACTAGGGGTCCAACTGCTCTGACTATACAAGCTCTACAAAAGCAAGGAGGGAGCTTTTTAGGACGATGTCCGCTAGGGGGAAATGTGCCAGCTCTTAATGGGAATAAATTAGACAGTTCTGAACAGGAATTTTTAAAGCGAGGAGGAGGCTTTTAGGATTATGGCAAGAAGTCAAGTGCCTGCCTAGCATGCACAAAAAAAAAAAAAAAAACCACAGAAGCCACTGTGGTTAATGCTGTGTCCGAGACTCCACTACTCTTCCAGCTCTCAGGTATTGACATTTTATGTAAATGTCAGTGAAAACTCCTAGATCTCACATCTCTCCCAGGGAGCAGCAAGATGACCTGTTGGGGAGAATGCTGGCCAGGTTTAAAAGACTGGTCAGTCCTGGAAACCTCAGATTCTTTTCTGCCTCCTTCACCCTAGGCCAAGGATTCCCAACATTGACCTTACAAACACTTGAGTTAGATGTATCTTGGCTGTGGAGGCTGCCACGACTTTATAGAATGTTTAGCAGTGCCCTGGCTGGCCCCTCTGCATGTCAGCAGCAAACCAGGCCACCCCACCAGCCGTGAGATTTCACTCTTGATGCTGGAAAACACAAAGGAATGCTCCCAGTATTCTACTCCCTTTAACCCTTTCAAGCTTCCCACTGCAGCTTTATTGCTTCTGGCTTATCCTTCCAGCCCACCCTTTGCAAAATTACAGTGTGTATAGTCTGTGTACATGTGTATATTAGAGTTCTCTGTGTATAGTCTGTGTACATGTGCATATTAGAGTTCTCTGTGTAT